TTGGAGATTTTAGAGTGACAGACTAAAATCCCCAATTCATTCCTATCGTTTGGGTGTTGAAGTGTAGATGTTAGCCCTCAGGCGAGGGGAACGTGGGAGCTCCGAAGTGAGGGTCGGTATCCTCTCAGCACAGCCGCAGATTCAATAAACAATGGAGGAGGAGGGCCCCACTTGGATCTGACATAAGTCTCATTGAACTCGGTGGGTCTAATATTAAAACACACTATGAAACTTCGGGGGGAATAAATTAAGAAACATAATGTAGTGGTGTTATTTGATTGTGGGGCCAACCATAACTTCATCTATACTCAAATAGTGATTATTTAAAAGTTATTAAAATTACATATTTATTTCAATTGCCTATTAGTGACAGATAAACAATTTGAATTACATTGTTGTGATTGATTTCTAAAATCTTAATTCATAGTTCTAATAGTACTCCCTATGAGATCGATATCTAGGACTCCATTAGAGCCCTATATTACTTGAGTGATACATATACCTGCGTTGATAAGTTTGACTTTACCATTATTGAATATTTTACATATACATCTTTATCGAATCTATAACCGTTGTTAAGTTTTTGGTGACGTTGCTGAGGAGATAAATCTTCTAGCAACAGTATTAAATACTTGTATTTTTAAGCATATATAAAGTCGCTATCAAGAACCAAGCATATTGATGTCAGGTATCATAAAATCAGAGAAGTGATTACTTTTGGTGCGATACTGTTGTAGAAGGTTCATACTGATGAAAATGCAGCTGATATGTTGGCCAAGTCAGTTACTGTCTTGCATTGGGTTTAGGGTTTAGGGTTTACTGTCTTGCATTGTTTGGCCAAGTCAGTTACTGTCTTGCATTGTTTGGACTTAGTTCTAACAAGTCAGTTACTATCAACAAGTTCTTGCATTGTTTGGACTTGTTGAATGTTTGGAGTTGTCAGACAACATGATAGCCCAACCCACTTCGGTGCATGCGAGAAACTCCAAGTTATTTTCTTTCTCTTAAGAGGTTGGATATTCATCAAGGTGAAGATTTGTTAGGTATGACTCATATACTATATAAATGACAAATTCTGGAGCGGAGTGGAAGCATCTGTCCATTGGGAGGAGCTTTTCGTTATATGGGTTGTGGGTGCGGGCCCCCGCGATACGGTATAAGGGTAATTTTGTAATTACACATTATACTCTAGGGTTATATATATATCTTGTTTATAACCCTAGAAATAACCTTGTACTCTTTTTTAAGATTGAAGGAAAATCGCCGCTCTGCTCCAGAGAACGTAGACATCTTTGCCGAACCTCGTTAAATCTCTTTGTGTGTTTTTCTGGATTTGTGTAAATTCTAGTATGAACTTACAAAGACTATACTCCACCTTAATAAGGGATAATTTCCTTAATCAACAATGCAAATCACTTTTCCTTGCTCTACATTTGGCCAACAACTCTGGATCAAATAAAAAAATAATTAAAAAGGTGGTAAGGGGGTTAAGCAGCGATGCAGCATTCTGGCACTTTTCCTTCCACGACATGGCGCGTATTGTTGCTCGCATCCTCCCCCTTGTGTACAGGTCATTGCCGTTTCATCCCTCGCCGTCGATCACTACGGCTCTGTGGTGGCGGCCGTTGGAGGTTTTGACAGCGTCGCCTATTCTTTCATCCACCGGCCACTTCCGCATTTTCTTATCTTGCTCTCAGATTCGAGGATTTCACATCTCATTTCCTTATTTATTCGATCCCGCGTCTCTCAGAACTTTCTTTGCACCATTTAGGGGCTTTCGAAAGGTGAAACGAAGGCCGGCAGCGAGGAAGCAGGTGTCGGAGGAAAATAAGCTAGAGCTCCGTGCCAAGATTTCTATAGAAGAAGGACTGTCCGATGATCATGAAGTTGTGGTAAGCTCATAAGTAATTTGTTTTCCAATTTACTCAATTGGCCACTAAAGATTTTAAACTTTTGTGACATTTTTTGTGTGAAATAGTTGGGAAATTCCACGCTATATGGCCTATAACAGAGAAAATCCGAAAAATATGTCCACTATCTATCTCATTTCACGGGGAAATATATTCGAAAGTTTGTCTCGGATTAAAACACAGAATTTTGTTATGTTCCCACCATCAGATGAACATTTTCGGTCATTTAAGATTTCATCACCCAAGGAGATAAAATGTTCTTGTTGGCTAAGTTCATTATTTTTTTTGTTCATAGATGTCTTCGACATATATGGATATTATTTTTAATTTTTTATACCGTGTTTCATAGATTAGATCATTTTGATGCAACATTCATGGAAATTGGATAATGTCAAAGACTGTGTTCCAAACTTTTTAAGAACATGTGTTAGAACCATGTTCACAATTTCTTCAAACTACAATCAAACACTATTCATACACATTCAAATGCATATATGCATTTTAATCTTTTTTGAACAGTATGTTTGTTTTTGTTCAAACCCGCTTCAAATTATAACTAAATTTTGTTCGAGCATAGTCAAACAAATGTTCGAGCATGGTTAAACAAATGTTCAAACTTTATCATTTTTTATGGTTCTTTAAATATGTCCAAACAGTATGCTTTGAAATGATTTTATATATATTGAATAAGGTTTGAACTTGATTCAATACTTGAACTCATGTTTTATTATAGTAATGTTATATTCTAACCAATTATTTTCGCAAGATAAATCAAACATAAAAAAAATTTACCATATAGAGAAGAATGACAAGAAGATGTACAACTCAATTGGATATATATCTAGAAACATAGTGACGAATTGATGGTACAATGAAGTATTTTCTTAACAAATCTCATGAATTGCAAAAAGTTACAAAGATTTACAAGAGTCAACTTAGTCTAAAATCAGATATTATGTCCAATTTGGATGGAGCATAGTAAAAAAAATTTAATTCATCTGATTGTTGTATTAATTGTTTAAGATTTTACTTTTTTTTTTTTGAAAGATATATCCATACTCATTTAAAATCCAACTTTTCTTATGCATATCTATCATTCTTAAGGAGATTTTGACAGAAATTTACAAGCAAAAGAGGATATTGTAAGATCAGTTAGTTCACTATTTTTCGCTGCTACAGTGATGATGCGAATATATCACATATAAAAATAGATGATTTTTTGGACATATCACGTGTAGAAATAGGTGATTCTGTGGACATACAGGTTGTAGAAGATAGTGGCTCCATGGATGTTGTGTTATTAAAGCATCCATTCAATGGTAAAACCCTAATGTGTGACTTCGCTGAAACTAGTAAATAGGTGAGGTATTTTGATTCTTCACATATCTTGGCTAAGGGTGACAAAATAAAATATGAAAATTTGGACAAATCCCATGCTGTAAGAGTTAGTGTCTAAAAGTAATTTCAATACAGTGGTTGCTAATTTGATTACTCTTCGAGTTTATACCTAGTTGATTTAGTTTCTTGGAATTTTTTTTCTTATTAAAAGTAGTTAAGTGGATGTTACATCTATATGTGATTAAAAAATACTTCCAATCCAGGTAAAAAAGTAGGAATAGATGTATGGCACATATGTTGGATTTTAAAGAAATGCTAATGCTTTTTTGGGCTATGAATTTGATAAATTGTATTATATTTGAGATTATAAGTCATAAATCAAAATACATTTATATTTTTTATGTTAAAACTAAAGACCACTGACAACCTTAATCATAGTTCATTGGAATCTGATTCTAAGTTGAAGTTAATGATGATCATATCAGCTGTAAAGAAAAATTAGGTACCTATGTATGGTACATCTGTTGGATTTTAGAGAAATGCTCAAGAAATTTGTGGGCTTTGAAGTTGGTAAAATTTATTTTATTTAAGATTATAAGTGATAAATCAAAATGCATTTATATTTTTTATGTTAAAACTAAAAATCATTGACATGCTTAATCATAACTCATTGGAATTTGATTCTAACTTGATTTGAACTCATGAACTAGGTTTGCTGTAAAATAGAGAAGGAAGAATAATAGAACATTGAAATTTCAAACTAGTTTTGTTTTATTATATTTTTACAACTGTCGTTTTTTGGTATGATGTGCTTGCATGCTGGTTGATACACTGAGAAAGTTTCAGGTAACCTTTGGTAGGTTATTTTACATTTAATTTACTTATTTTAATGGTATTATAGGTGAAACTAGTTGATTTGACTTTAGATTTCAAATGCATTATGACATTTGATTTTCATGAATGTTGAACAATTTTATGTGCTAGTTACTCGAAACTTCTTTGGGATATGTTTACATACACAGCACAAAATTCTTATGTTTCCACATATCTCACAACTAAACTTTCATATTTACACACATAGTACTCAAATCTTTAATATCACATAAAAAATATCACTATTGAGTATGAGATATATAAATACATAAAAAATGTGTGCTTCAAATATAAATTTCCATAATTTTTTTTTAGTTCGACATAAACTTTATTATTTTAATAATATGCCATTGCTCCGATGGGCTCTTGTACTGCAGTCCGCCATTTGCCATTAACGAATGTGTCCATACTTTAAGCAAGATTCTTACTTGGAGTTCTGTACGTTTGTTCTATTTCATATAGATTCCATGCATCCTTCTTTTTTGCACGTCTTTCTCAAGTATTCACTTATTTTATTGTCAACTATGCTTGCAGAACATTACGGAAATGCTCAAGCTGGATGTCCCTATGGCAATGAAAATGGCTTTTGACGGTCTTAAAGAACTCGACTGCAGGGCCCAAGGCTCTATTGGGGATATAAGCAAATATGAGCAAATTGTGCTGTCAATATTACTCTGCAATGATGAATTGACTACAAAACTTAATAAAGAGTGTAAAGGAGTTGATTTTCCTACAGATGTTTTTGTCAGAACACAGAATGTCCAAGAATTCGAGATTCCCATTGTAAGAAGTCTAGTCTTCTAATTCATTAATTTATTTCTGTAATTTGTTTCTGATCTGCTCAGTTTGAAATGTTCAGCTGATGTTAGGAGATATAGTCATCTCTGCTGAGGCTGCCTTGAGACAAGCAGAGGAGAAAGGCCACACGTTACTAGATGAAATCCGATATCTTGTGGTTTGTTTCCTCGCTAGTCCATTATTTACATTATATTAGCTATTTTCTAAAAAAGTATTAAGGGAATAAGAAGTTCAAAATGATTTCATTCGTTAAACTTAACTGTAATCTTTATAAATTTGTTTATTCTGTATCTCGATTTAAAATATATATTCTTTTGATGCTATTGTTCTTTAAATTAGATATTTGGTAAAACCCAATTCATGCTTCACATTCGATAGTATTGTAGCTGTTACCTATAAAGGATTTTTGGAAAGCTAAAGTTTGTATATCTGCCACAAACTAGTTAAATGTGCAATTATTTTTCTACACTACCTTGTTCTTCTATAAATTCTATTTCCTTATGTTCTCCATTTTGTGACATTATAAACGGGCTTTGAACTGAAAACTGCCCTTTTAGTCATATAGTTTAAGTTTAATTTGTTTGATTCTCAAACTTAACATACTCAATTTATACTTAGACGGTCAAAAGTCTCATTGTTTGTGTTCGAACAGATCATGTCTGGCAATTAGTTCTATTTTGACTAGTTTTTATAAGCTTATGTATTTAAGGATCGAAACATGAAGGCCTTATTCATTCATTAAAATGTATATTTATGCATATGTGCATCTATATTTTATTATTATTATGTATATGTGTTCACACACAATCGCGCGCACACACTCATGTGTGCGTGCGTGCACGCACGTGCACGTTTGCATGCGTGTCTATGCGTGTGTGTGCGCGTGCATGCGTGTGTCAGTCAATTTTTTTTTATTTTCAAAAAAAGATTTAATTTAATATAAAAGGTATATAAATTTTTTTAATTTTGAAAATATTGTGTTTTGATTTTAAAAAATGAGACCGAATGAATCTCATTTGTCTAATAATTTACATAATCATGTCCAATATTGCGAATAACACTTCTTCCCGAAAGATAAGTGTATCTCTTGATGATGAACTCAATCATACAAACTAAAAGATTTATGACATTCGCTTGATATATTAATTTTTGTGTGTGACCGAAAAATTCTCCTACCTAATACAAATATTAGATAGGATTTATTTTTACCTGGGTTCCAAGTTCTCTATAAGGGCAACTTCTATAGTTAATTACATCCCAAACGACCGAGGTCACTTGAGAGAACTCTCGATAATGATCAAAGATACTAGTTTTCAAGAATTCAATGTTTAGGTTTTCACAGTAAGATTCAAAAAATCAAGTGAAAAATGATTAAATGGGAGTAGTAATTTCAAGAGTCTAAAGGAAGGAAAAGGTAGAGGATGTCATGGATCATGAGGAGAACCCTCAGTGATTTCCCAAACTATCCTATTGTGTGGCTGCTTTTTGGAGACAATATTATTCAAGTTTTCAATTCTGTCAATTTTAATTTTATTATTTGAAACTTACACTTACACTTGCATAATACCCGATTATGCAAATAACCCGCGGAGATTGAAGAGTTTGCGTTGTATCGAACGAAAACCTCAAAATCTAAGGAGAGTTAGAACTTATGCTGCTCAACACGGTCGTGCAAGAGTTTAAAGAAAAGTGAAGATTTATGTCGTGCTAAACAAACTACCTCGAAGCTTATAGACCGTTGTTATTTAAGGCTAAAAAATGATTTAACTGAAGTAGATCTGTTTAATGTTTTGTCTTGATTGTCGTTCATTTGCATCCTCGTCGTGCTGCTCACCAAGCTTGCTCCGAGCTCCGGAACGTAGTGACTCAGGGTTTAGGGTTTTATGTGTGAGCATGCAAATTTATTTGGTCGGTGGCTTGTCGCAGTTTACCTCCTAAACAACCGGTCTATTGTTCTCTACCTTAAAGGTCTTGCAAGTATATCAAAGCAGTGACATTGCAGGCATAAACAAAGTATATGCAGTAAAATAACAGTGTAAAGGAGAAACCGACCCAACTCCCAAAATTAGCGAAGCGGAGGGGGTAGTATGACGGTGGGTTGGCCTAAAAAGTGTTTAGACTTTATCCAGACAATGAAAACTTGCATTCAAACTTTTCAAAACCAACCAATAAGTCAGCTCCACATCAATACTTTTATAAGCTCCAAACAACACTTTTAAGTGCTCCCAAAGAACACTTAAATAGCCCCAAAGCAGTGCATAAATTGCTCCAACTCAGCTAACAAAAGCACCCCAAAACAATGATTTATAGTGCTCAAAACAATGATTATATTGCTCCAAATCAGCCAACAAAAGCACCCCAAAATGGTGCATAAATTGCTCAATATCAGCCAACAAAAACACCTCAAAACAGTGATTTATAGTGCTCAAAATCAGCCAACAAAAACACCTGTGATTTATAATGCTCAAAATCAATCAACAAAAGCACCTTAAAATAGTGATTTGTAGTGCTCAAAATCAACCAACAAAAAAACCCCAAAATAGTGATTTATAGTGCTCAAAATCAGTCACAAAAGCACCCCAAAATAGTGATTTATAACGCTCAAAATCAGCCAATAAAAACACCCTAAAGCAGTGATTTATAGTGCCCAACATCAACCAACAAAAAAATCCCAAAAAGTGCATAAATTGCTTCAAAAGAGGAATCTGGAAGGGAAATTCAAGCGAAACAAAGATCATGATGCAAATGAATGAGGTAGGATTAAATAACCAGAGGTAAGAAAACTATAAAAGACAAATAAAACATATAGGAAATCCAAAAAAATGATTCTATATAAAAATTTAAATTATATGGTTGTTTCAATGATAACAGTGTTTTGTTTCAGCATAAGATCAAAAGCTACAATGTATCCAAATGTAGGGCTATGAACACAAGCTTTCAACTTTTCACATTGACATGAATGTTAAAATCGTGGATAGTTCTCAAAGCAAGAAGGCTGCATTAAATTGAAGTGTTAGTAAGCAATCCTTGTAACATTTATATTATTAGCAGGGGCTGAATAGATAGATTTTAGAGCAACAACATTATAGAAGGCGGTGAATTCTTCTAAAGTGATCTATAAATAATAATCAACAGTTAAAATCGAGTAACAGTGAACATATTACAGACAAAATCTTACTATCATTCAAAAGTACGCTCACTAGATGCACAAGATTTTGCTTTGGCGTATAATTCAAATATACCAAATTTTAAAATTAGTCTTGTGACGTCAAATGGGATTGGAAGGGAATAACATAAATCTTATTTTGAAATCACCACTATGATCAAGCTCATCAAATATCAGCTCAAAATTCTCAAATAATAATCAAAGTCAAAAGGATTAAATAATTGGAGTCTCAAACAGGTCAACCTGCTACAAATCCTACTCCCAAAGCCTCAACGAAATTTAATATATTATGTCCAACGATCATGCTTACCTTAGTCAAGGGTTTCAGGTAGGAGTAGAGCAAAAGGAGGAGCAGCAGGAAGATCGATGTGTATGATTTGTACAACGGTGTCGTTGTTTCCTTCCCACGTACAACTAGCAAACAAGCTTTCCTTCCTCAATGGGTTTGGCTAGGGGCTGTTCGGCGTGAGTGAGGAGGGAGGCGGGAGATTGTTTGGCTTCGATCCAGAGAGGAAGAGGGAAGGTGAGGGTTTGGTTGTGAGATTGTTTGGCTTCGATCCAGAGAGGAAGAGGGAGACCGAACGGGAGGTTGTGAGGAAGAGGGAGACCGAACGGGAGAGGCAAGGGTTTTGATGGAGCAAGGAGACAAGCCCGAATGCCAGGGAGAGGCAAGTGGGAGAGTTTTGGTGGAGAGGGAGTCGGGTGAGAGAGTTTCGGTGCAGAGGTGAGGAGGCGAGTGTGGGAGAAGAGAGAGTCGAGCGGGGAATGAGAGGGGGCTGAATTGTATATCAGAATATTCAAAGGAGGCGTTACGAGAGATTAGACGGGCGATTAAGTGATTTTCATTCATGTCTCGGGCTTAATTAGAAGATCATAAACTCCATTAAAATGATATTGGACAGCTTATTTTGAAATTTGAAATTTCATATTACGAATCGTGTTATCGGCTTGGCCTGGTATGATTGACCCGTGTTCAGCCCAAATTGAACCCGGGTTGAGCCTGAACACGCCTCCTTTAATTAATTCTTTACATGTATCGATTTTTATGTTGTTTGTTCGTGCACAGAACCATAGTAATATGAGTGTCTTTTCAGGATAAAATTAACGTCTGGACAAGCTCGTGCGGTTTGTTTCGTCATCCGGAGTATTCCAGACGAGTTTGTCGGCGATCAGACCAATTCAAGTTTACATCGTGCACGATGTAGTGGATGTGTGTGAGCAGGCCATTCAAGGTTAAAAGGGTATCCATAAGGTTTTTAAATCCTATGAGAACTCATTTTTTGGTCCTCTACATGTTGGTTCTTAGCCCTTGTAACTAAAAAATGAGTGCTTGAGACCATTTATGTGAGTTCTTCATAAAAAATGGGTTAAGAAGTGATTTGAAGTTCTACGTAAGGCGGGTTCCATTACTAGTCCTCTAGGATAGGCAATAGGAAAGTTTTAAGATTAGATTCTAGGTTATAGGAGAAAGAAACGAAGACCTCACCAAAATGAGGTCAACAATATGCATGCATATACATATATGTGTGTATGTATGTATGTTTATGTATATATATACATACATTCATACATACAAAACACTCACAACATTTATATTTACAAATCAAGCACAAAGGTGATTTTTTGAACTACCAAACTGATGCATTTTCGCGTGCAACCATCAAACCATTGAGAATTTGATAAAAATAAAAAATATGTGTTGGTGTTGTGTCATGAATTTTGATATGTATGTAAAACTTTGTAAAATGGATGAAAGAGGGCGCTCTATTTGTAAATATCAATGTTTCAGGTGCTTTGTTTGTAATTGCCCCATATATATATATATATATATATATGTTGAGATATAAACATGCACTCATCTACGGGCAAGTATATTACTTTCATGCAGACTTTATGAATAGTTCATAATCAGTTTGTGAAGTCAATGGGCCGAATACAACTAAGAATTTTCGGCTTGTTTGCTTTAACGAATCAAGTCAAACAATACTTGAGCTTGCTTAAACTTGGCTAGTTTACACACTCTCTTTATATCAATCAATTACTAGACATACTTTAATTCTATCTTGCGCTGGATATACTAATTACTGTATATTAAAGTCAGATGCAAGGGTTACTGCATGTTTTGGGCTATGATGGTGGGAGTGATGAGACTGTAGCAGAAAAGGAAAAACTAGAGGAGCTAGTCCTTGAGAGTCTTGGCTGGAAAGGAAGAGGTCCAGCAACTGTTACATATGATTTTCTGCCTTGTGGTATCCAGTCACAGATTGGCAATGGTGCGTTTTTATTTTTAAAAAGTACTTTATTGGAATCTTGTCTAGTGTATTATATCTGAACTTTCATTGTAGAGTCCACCTTGTGGTGTAAGATTTTATAAGCAGCCTGGCAGTATGGGAAATTTTACAGGAAAAATGTCTAATGCTCAAAGGGAAGCTCGTAATGTTCGATTTTATCGGCCAAAATTCAGCCATATCTTTTGCAATATGGGTGGTGAGTATAGGAATTTGTTTCTTCTTTGTCATAATTTTTGGCAATTTTGTGTTTATTGTTTAAATCTTTTATATTTATGAAAGTAATACCTACATCTTTCTACTTATAATAATACCATCTAAATTTCAAGAACACAACAAAACTACCTAAGTTTTATTCTATATGATTTGTTAACTTTATAATGATTTGGGTGGCATCATATGCAAGTGTGAGCTTGATCACTCATTTAAATGTTTGGGTATTTATTTTTCATTCATCATTTTTTAATAATATTTATAGTCACCCTACCAAAAATTCAAAGCCAAATTAATATTCAGACAACAGTGGCTTTAAGAGAAGCACTATCCTGGGGAGTTTAAATGGCTATTGCTATTGGAAGGATGAGCTACTTTTTAATTCATTGCTTTTCAAAGATCAAAGCACATATTTTTTTTGGACTTGTCGTTTGCTTAATATTTTTCTTTAATTATTATTGTATAGGCATATATGAGATTATCATTTCTCTTCTTAAGACAATAATGCTTTTTGTCTTCTTTTTTGTAATATGACTAATGTTTTATAATCTTTAAATTTTTGGTTACATCATTGATTGTAATCTATAACATAAGATTTATATGCCGATTGAGCTATATCTATTTTCACGATGATTTATACATTCATCAAGTATGTGAAAAATTTAAGTATGATTTTGGGTTGATTTGGGGTAGTTCTCTCGTTGTTTTTCTTTTTAGATCACCATTGCACCTCCATTTGACTACTGTTTTTTTGCTGGATTTTAGAAATTTTTGTGGCAGGATCTGTTTTTACAACCAGATTTGCTCAAACATGACCAGATTTGCTCAAACATGACAACTATAAGAATGCCATCGTTTGATTTTTTGGAAAGAAAAAATATTTATAATAATTGTAGTTGCCTTAAAAAAAAATTATTTTATTCACAAAAGTCTTACAACTGCTTTTAGAAAAGGTTGCAACTACCCTAATGACATATGTAAGCTTTTTTTAACACCTAGTTTTACCCATTTATTTTGTCAGTTAAAAATTTCCAATATGAGTGATGTCACAATGAATATAAATTTGGTTCTAATCCATTTGAATCTATCTATATATTGAAATTATTAACCAGTTCTACTAAACCGTGACAACTATAAGAAAGTTGTTCGACTTTTTTCCTAAAAGAAATTTTTTATAAAATTCACAATAACCAAAAATAAATTGTTTTACTCTCAAATTTACTTCTATTTTTACAAAAAAGTTGCAACTGACCCAAAAATGACATTTAATGGCAGAAATACGCTTTTTTTAATATTGAGTTTTCTCTGTTTATTTTGTCAATTATAACCATCCATTATGAGTGATATCACGATGAGTATATATTTGATTCTAATCCATTTGATTTCATATATATATATACCTCTCAATTTTTAACAATAAAATAATCTATGAATAACATTTGTCTGCAGCACTGTCAATCTGCACATAAATGCTTTCTATTTGCAAAAATTCGTGTATACCAACTTTTAATTTATGTTGTGCAGTTAATTATAAATTTATAATTAAGTATTGATATGCATATTTTTTTGTTTATTTGATAGTTGTTTTTTTACTTATTTATTTACATTTTTATATTTTTTTTATACAAAACGAGAAAATAAAATTTAGCATAAAATCTCCCGTTCAATACTCTATTATCATTCTATTTTTTAAGATAGTATAAGAGAACTTAATGCGATCCTTATATCTCTGCGGGTATATCATCTAGGATGGAGCACTTGAGACCCAAGACTTGAATAGAGAGAGCCATCTTCATCTAACTTTTAAAAGTACACTCCTAAGATTAATGCCTGAATGACTCAAATTCGGAATGTCATGCGACCTTTCAGCAATGTGTTAGACCTTTTCTATAGCTGTGTACAAAAAGTAATGGTATTTCAAGCGCCAACTGTGAGTCAACTTTAATCAGGCTGGCCGTTGGCCTAGGCCTAGCTGAGAGTTTGCTTTGGCCGAGCTTGCAGATTGCTTTGTACGGATTGGTTATCTAGTGGGTTGTTTTTGGTTCTTAGCCCTTGTGGCGAGTCTTCATGAGGAGGACAAGTTAGATCAGGTATTAACAAACTACACTCATAATCAGACGTAACCTCCTATCCCTTAATGTATTGCTCATGTTTTCAGGCTAGATTTTTATGTTGTGAGGCTCCATAGGTAGACATATTTGAAATTGGAGGGTGTGAAGCTTCAGGTGAAGAACTTCATCAATTAATGTTTTACGCTTTGTGAGGCTGATGGGCCCTTTAACATGGAGCCTTATGCTTAAGTCAATGGGTCTGTCACCAATATTAAAAGCTATTCTTTGTGTAAAATGGGCAATAAAATCCATTCTTTTATTATTTTTTTCCTATACTTATTTCCCTGATTTCCCTCCTTGATTCCTTTCCGTTTCGCCATTTGCCTGGAGCCTTATGCTTAAGCCAAATACCACCCTTTCATATATATGTATGTGATACATAAATGTTGTATGAGAGGACCCAATAGAGGCACCGTACCCATACGATACCAAGTATAATAATACCCCAACAAAAAGATAGAGATAAACTCAAAAAATTAAAACATGCTGAAAACAAGTAGCTAGGGACGAGCCAGTTTAGTCCTGTCTCTTCCTCTAGTTTTATGAGCGGAGTCAGATAACAAACTTTGAAGTGTCATGTCATTGTCAGGAGTAACCAAAGTATCATCTATTAAGTTTTCAAATTGGAGTGTGCCCTCAGTCTTCTTCTTCCGCCAAGAAGTGTAAACCTGTCATTCTTCATACATTAGAAGACTGGCTCATGTGATCCTCAGTCTGATTATATATAAGAACTACGTAGAAGTAAAGACAGTCGTTGTCATAGCGATAGGTTCCAATGTATGTGAAGTGTGAATTGTCTCCTCTGCATCTGATGCTTCCTGAATAGGAGCTGCGGGGTCATCCTGATTTACGGTCTGAACATTATTCGTTGCAGTATGGTCAGGAGAAGGGTTCTCAGGGGCAGACTCCAACTCCTGGCTTGTGGTGATTCCCTCCTCAGGTTGGCTGTCATCAGGTTTGTTGGGAGCGCGTTCAAGCACTTGGGGTGCACTAACAACATGTTCCTGCTTTTGACTATTTGATCTCAACAGTGGGTGCAATATGAAACATTTCTTCTACGGTTGCAGTGCTTGAAGTAATAAGATTTTTGTTTCATAATGATTTTTTTCCAATAACTATTGTGAGCAGAGCCAAATCAAACCTCTTCCACATCTGGTATCAAAACCCTTGCAATAGAGGGCCTAGAGAAATAAACTGTAGGTGTGGCTACTTACAAAGGTTTTTCGAGGATAGTCCCAATTTTATATAAGGTAGGTAGGTTAAAGAATTGAAGCTTGAGTTTAGGTAATGAGAATCAGATAGGCGCAATTGGGGGTTCTTGACTGAGATCAAAATCAGGGGTCCATTTGAGCAATTTCATATGTTTGCCCTCGATTGTGATGAATTTTTTTGAGAAAATACTTGTGTAATCTTCTTCTATACTCAGCTGTATCATAACATGTTTTCTATCGAAATGACCCACCTGTCAAGCCCCAACTAATTTGAAATCTTCAAAATTCTTGCTGATAATCTCTATCTTAGGGCAACCTTATTGGAACTTTCCAACTAGAGTAAATTGGTATTTTCTTGCACGAGTTGAAATTTTAGCGTCAGAGAAGAATATTGCTGGTTTGCCCATTTTTTTTCAGCTTTCTTGATGAGATTGCAATCTCCATGTCCTGCAACAGAATCATGGTACATTTGCGGGAATATCGGACTATCTGCGAAGTGAAAATGAGAGTTGCATTTGTGAACCACTGAGGGTTGGGCAGAGTTATCGCCGGTGAGGACGGCGGCGTAGGAAAGCCCTAAATTACTGTGGCCAGTGCCAACAGAAAACGCAAATCCCACAAACAGGAGCAGCTCTGTCACAGACAACGCAGGTGCCGGCGCAACTGTCAAGCAGAGGCAGAGCCTGTAGGCGCAACGCAAATGAACCCACCGGGTAGCTCTGCCGCCAGACGAGGCACGACGACGCGAGTACAAGATGACGACGAAGACGTCGCGAGTATTTTCCAAAGCCGAAGAGGAAGGCGCTTGCCATGAGGCGAAACTCTAGCAGAGCGGAACGACGACATGTTTTTAATTACATCCTTTTTTTATATTCTAATTTCCATAAATAGAACGTAACTCTTTTCATATAGTTTCTACATTTCTTTTCCATTATGTGTGTGTCGATATATATATATATATATATATATATATATATATTGGCCAAAGACTATTAGACGAGCCTCCCGACCAACCTCATGTGCTTAATAATTTCATCACGCACACAGGTGGGATCTAACTCGTGACCCCAGGGATCTTACAAACTTTGCTAGCCAAAGAGTCGCAGTAGGCGACACAAACACACACACATGTATCTTTTTTAATACAATGAATGTTAAGCGTTCATCGTATCATCCACCATGTATTGTTAATAGTGGATGAGCATTAAATTTTAATGAAAAATTTAAGAAAATTTTATGAAAATTAAAATTAGTTGTGTATATCAAAATGATCATTTTGAAGCGTAGCATGTAATGAAATAATTTTTGATGATTTATAAAAAAGTTAAAATTTTTGGTTTTGCGTTTATACTTTATCTAAGTTTGGGTATTACATAATGCATTTGAACTTAAAAAACTTTATATGACCTTAAGGGTGCCTCATGCTTGGCTTGATGGATTATTAAGTCATGTTGAAAAGTGTGGGACCGAGGTTATAGTCAGTGCCAAATGAGAGCTCACCCAAAGAAAAAAAAGAGGTAATTTTGATCATGTATGTAGACAATATTATATTGACATGTGAGTTGAAGGAAGTGCTAACAATATTTAAAAGATTTTTGGCAAGAAAATTTGAGGTAAAAAAATTGAAAAATCTAAAATGTTTTTGCTTTGTATTATTACTTTTAGAAGGAAGTTTGTTCTTGATCTACTTAAAGAACTATGAATGTTTCGATGTAAGTTTGCCCGATTAATAAACAAAGAAAAGTGGGATCACTACTAACAATACATTTGTTGATAAAAAGTAGATATATATCAATGTGTCGTGGGCAAACTTATTTGCCTCTCTCACCGATTTTGATAATTGGTTCTGTATTTGTGTTTACTTCCTGCAGGTGTCCTACTTTTGTACTTAACGTGCCTGGTTACATGAAGTAAAAAAAAAAAAAATCTGGTATTCTTAAGAAACAACGTTGAAGCTGAATATAATAAGTGATATATCGTATTTGTGGAGGAATGCATTTAAAATGTTTATTCGAACTAAATTATCAACTAGAAAAATCTCTAAAACAGTACGGTGAAGATCATCTGGTCATAGTAAGTACTGCAAGAATTTTGTTCACCATGATAAGACTAAACACATTAAGATGGATTGACATTTAATCTCAAGAAAAAAACAGCCTAACTAAATTATATTCTAACAAACTTTCAAACTGTTCTTATTCTCCTCAAGCTTTGCCCATAATGAGTTTTAATGAGCTAATCAACAAGTCTAGAATGATCAACATATGCAATTTAGCTTGAGGGGGAGTGTTGACATAATTTTTGATTTGTGAAGAACTCCTTTTCAAATAGAGCAACCCAACTATTTATGAACAAATCATTCAATCTGCAACAATTCTGTAGTTCATATAAAATAGCTTTTCATTTATAACATAGCTTGTCATTTTTATTGTGTAGTTAATTTTGAATTTCAAAATTAGAGATTGTTTTTAAGGCTTATTTCTTTTCTAGTTAAGTTTTTTATTCACATATTTATGTACAACTTCTTATCTTTAGTTTTACATAGAATGAGAAAATATAATTCAGTCATTGAACCTCCTTTATTTTCCCACTCTTCTCTCTACTCATTTTAATTTTTAAGAAAATTTTAATTAATAAATGACCATTATTTTCTATAATATTTATAGGTACCTTGCTGAACAGTCAAGGTCAAGTTAGTACTACAACGATAGTGGCTTTAAGAGAAGCACTGTCTAGGGGAGTTAAAATAGTAATAGCTACTGAAAAGGTAAGCTTTTTAATTTATTGCTTTACAAAGATGGAGGCATATATAGTTGGGCCTTTTCATCCACTTAATTTTTCTAACTTTAGTATGTTGTTATTCACACATATGAGATGTACATTTCTCCTCCCATGAGAAGAGTGCTTTTAACCTTTTTTTTATGTATTTATATAATATTTAAAAACTTGGTCGTAAATTTGAATTTTATCAATTTTCGTGTTGATTGAACTATACATCTATCATGTGAAAAATTCAGGGATGATTGAATGATACATAGAAATCCTTATAATAAAACTTAGTTTTGCCCATCTATGCCATCAATTAAAGTAGTCAAATACATTTAAGCTACCATCAATAAACATATATTTGATTTCAAACCATTTAAAATTGTCTACATTTCAAAATCACGATCATTTTCTTATGCAACTGTAGCCATTCATTTTGAAACTTTTTATTCTTCAAAAGTTTACCAAATATTCTTAAAAACCCTTGATATTGTACATGTTACTGGTTTTAATGATTTTAAGTATACAGATGGTGTTGATATTGGTTTTTAAAGATATAACATCAAATTTTAATTAGATGATAATTCAAAATTTTCTTCTAAGAGAAGATATATACACACACAAATCTACACACATATGTATGGAATTTTCAAAGCCATTTTACTTATATATAATCACGTATGATATCATTTTTTAATCTGATTTTTGTAAGTAGACACGTCCGGCTGCTATTAGTGTGCTGAAAATGGTTGAGCTGGATGGAAAAAATGGCATTGTTTCTGAAGTGTCACCAGGCATTTTCCTACAGGTTGGTTTCGTTCAGTCACTTTGGTTTTGCAAGTTCTTGCTTTTCTGTATTATTTTTCAGTAACTTTTATGAATGTCAATAATAAATTTTTATTCGTTGGACAATATTTATTTAATAATGCACATTGTCCGGACAATTACTTTGTTTAATAATGATTATCCATAGATTTTCTTGAAGTTCATGTTAAACTTGCAATGGCGACTAATATCATTGTCAAATTCACTCTTTAACATCAATAAACTGAATGAATAATATTTAAAGCTGAAAATCATTTGAAAACTTGGTCTGATTGTGATGCACCTATAGAAGTCTGAGACTTCTTCGTATGACTGTCGTGAAACTTTATTATGTGGAAATTGCAACTAAGAACAAGTATAATGAATGGCCCAAATAGTAACAATGATATCAAATTCAAAAATAAGACACCAAAATTTAAATGGTTAACCAAAATGATAGCTTATATCCATTGAAGTGGAGAGAGGAATTTATCCAATTTAGAGAGATTGTACATGTGTACAAAGAAGATGAGCGTAAGATCACTCTCTTCCTTGAGCCTAACTATACCCAATCTCACCCCAAAGAAATCCTAAATTTCTCAAACCAAATAAATATGAAATCTTACTAATATTATATCGAGTTGCTAGAAATCAAATACGGGAGATAAAAATCATAGTGATATAAATCATATTAGAAGATCTCCATCTTGATTCTCCTTAAAGTAGCCTGTTTACTCTATTATTATCTCAGTTGTAACCCTCCAAACACATGCTAGAGTTCCTCATATTCAATGGAACATAGTAGTAGGAAATCTGAAGGTTATCAACATTTTTGGTAAAGTGAGTAGGCATTCGGTCTATCAAAACTTGCAAAGACGCAATTTCTATTTCTGTGGGAAAGTTTGTGGCGGAGAAGTTGCCTCTGCACTCATTTTTGCAATTTACCATACCAAGTTGCTCAACTTATAGGATGTTGAACTAGTCTTAGCCCTTCAAATTAAAATGCAAAAATAAAAAAACTAAGGGAGAATAAACTTTCTTCCCTCATGATGATAAATATATAAATAAATATCTCCTCATATCCTTGTTCTGTATTTGTTCTAGAATACAACTAAAATTGAATAAAGTGGAAACCGACTAACATATTTTGTGAGAGAGAGCTTAATGTGGACGTTTTTTAAATGCATCATCTTCATGGAAATAGGAAAAGAGAAGTCAGGAGGGTACATGTTTTAAGCCATAGTACGAAAGAGTTTTAGCATCAGAAGTTTTGAGTTCAAATCTCATATTTCAGTGAACATACATCACAATAAATTTTTAAGCCATATCAAATTGATAATTGAAATATATTCAAACCCAATCTTTGGCTTTTTAAACTGATTGAAAGCCATAATTTAACCGGTGTAGCTTGCTTTGGTTTGTATTATGCAACCATATAGGTTAGGAACTTGTTTGTCGTTCCATTTTATGATATATTTTTTGTTTAAATGATGCCTTTGGTAAAACCTTATGCTTGCTACAGTTATAAAATTGTTCTAAATTTGTGAGATTGATTTTACTCTTAATTGATGCTTTAAAAACAGGGTTTACTTGTTTATGGTAGACATGGTAAAGAGATTCATAGAAGAAACTTAGACCAAAGTGTATGTAGAGAGGTAAGCAGTTATTTATATGCATGCAATTTATGTCGTGTTGCTAATGTTCAGTATTGGCACTATTCCTTTGCGGAGTCATTTTACTACATGGTACATTAGTCGCCCTTTTCTGAGATTTCACTTTTTTTTATTAATTTCTGACAAGCTGACTTTAATTTTCCGCGATTCTACACTAAAAGATGTTGGTGTACACCTTACATTTTACCTTTGAGATGTTGTGTTGTATGTTTCTAACAAAATCTGTTGAACAGGCGCTTTTGTACTCACTAGAGCATAAGGTTCCTCTTATAGCATTTTCTCATGATAGGTGCTTGACATTATTTGATCATCCCTTGCTTGATTCACTACATGCCTTACATCATGAACCCAAGGTATTAGATTTTATGTGTACGCCTGATCTACCATTGCTCAAAAATGTCATTTATAACTCGCATTATATTTTATCTCTCAGGTAGAGTTTGTAACATCAGTTGAGCATCTCTTAAAAGTTGCTGTGCAGGTAAGCAGCCATTGATTTGGTCAAGTTTTGTTGTTAATCACAATTCCCTTGGATGTTGTTTACAGATTCTTAAGTATGAGTTTATCACATATCAAACAGTTAATCATTATTTTTGAATGCCCTCCACTCTGATCTAACCCTAAACCCTAAACCCTAAACCCTAAATTTCTAAAGTACTGCTATAGGTTTACAGAGTTGAATCTTTTGTTTTTATGTCATTTTAAGAACCTACGAGGCTTTATTGATCTTTAGAAATGTAAATGAATTGGCATGCATGAAAGTTGCACATAAAGAATAAATATATTAAACCCATCTTATTTAGGCATTTATCACACTTTATTCCAGATAAACATCAATCAGCAGAAGCCCTCTCAAAAAAAAAAAAGGGGGGGGGGGGGGG